TCTCTCTCTCTCTCTCTCTCTCTCTCTCTCTCTCTCTCTCTCTCTCTCTCTCTCTCTCTCTCTCTCTCTCTCTCTCTCTCTCTCTCGTTTGACATTTATATTCTGGTCTCGCATTAAATGGACTCAAACTAACGCATCATTGAATACTAACTGTTGTATTGATGATGTACTGCACCAGTAGTTTGTGTTCAATTCAAACATAATGATAAAACCTGAATATTATGTACCGATCTATGTATTGAATATGAGATCATCTTTAACCCAAATGACCCGCTCTTATGCTGTTTACACATTCGTTAGCATTCAATACGAAACAAATCTCGACAAAATTATTTTGACCCAAATTACAATATTTGCTCTCTTGTAGTCATTGTGTAGCAATAGATGATTGAATTTACTGCAAACCATTCAAACTATCTCTTCTATACTCTAACTCGTAGGAATATTCTTATATTTTGAAAAATATTGTTTTTTTTGGCTAAATATATCAGTATTTAAGGGATAAAGATTATCATAGATTTACGCATTTTTATATGGTTTTCGAAAAATATAATATAAATGGAAATTTTGTTTTATTTCAAGATTCAATGATTTTTTATTAGAGCATAGAGTCGTATAAACACTATATGATTTGTATTGTATATATACAGTATTTTCATAGCATATTTGAAGTGAAAATCTATATTTGAAAGAGTGTCGTATAATCTAATCTGAAATATCATACGAGACATAATCCTATTAGATATGATGTAACAGTGATATGATATATACTGTATTACGTGAGTGATAACTCTCACACGACAATCACTGATAAATCACTGCTTTATGTAAGGCTTTAAAATTGAGTTCAACATAGAGAGAGAGAGAGAGAGAGAGAGAGAGAGAGCAACGAAAGAGAAGTTCATAACCATTAATATGACAATAAGCATACATATTGTGTGCATATTTTCAATAGACGACAACAACCATATCATGTCTTTATGCAATACTTATGTTTGGCATAAATTACATATATTTCAGTCTCCATTCGCGCCTCCCTTTCAAACCAAAATGACTGGAAGCCAAGCAAATGAGGGAAAAATGACTTAAATTTATTGTGAAATACGGTTATAGTAAATATTAAATGTAAAAATATTCAGCCAAAAAAATCACGATAATGTCATGTCTGCCATGAAATACATTATCATTTTCTCCATAAGTTCTACATTTATTTTAATTTGTTTTCTTATGAATGAACAAAAAAAACTCAATATAAATAAGAGATAAATTTAAGTGAGGAGTAAAGTCATTGAGTGGTTGAGAGCGTGAGCCCAATGTTTAACTTGAGATGCATTGAGTCCTACAAATTCCGGACAGGAATTGTTGAATTCTTCGTCAATTTCCTTCACTCATCCGGACGTTTACTTCTTCGCTCTGCTCTCTCCCTATACTTTCAATATTATGCCGTCGTTTACGACAACACATTAACAACA